GACAATGAGCATTCTCTTAGTCAGGATAAGCAAAGCAACTTGATTGGCCGGGACTTTGAATTGGTTGATGCTTTGGGGTATGATAACTTTGGTTATAATGAAGTACTGGAACATAAAAACCCAGCTTTTAATTGAGCTAGAATGTTTAAACTTGGTGTAGATGTTCATCAGGTCTTGACTGAACATTTTGAGCTACAGCTTGGCAATTTCATTGGTCGATGCTTTGGGACAAGATAACCTTGATTTCTATCTGACAGAGAGTGATGAAATTTACAGTATAGTTTGATTGCTCGATACTTTTGAAAAAAATATGAAAGTGCGATTAATTAATGTGTCATCTTTTACTTTGGGGTTTTGGCGGGAGACATCAGCCATACTGTTTGCTTGTTTAATATCCCCTATACAATATACGCTCGACCTCATTACCCGAACTGGGGTAGAAAAGTGGGATCTTTGACAATGAGGCAATGAACTTGTACATTCTTTTGCAGCTGCACAAGAGGGAACATCAACGCCGGATTAACCATGGTGGTGGGGAGGGGGGCTGATACCGACCGTGAAGCCCCGCAAGGGGGTCGGGTCAGGGGGTTCTCCCGCTAAGAAATTTTAATTGGAGGCCGAAAACGTGATTTCATGGCATTTCAGGCACTTGTGTCGGAGCCATTTAGAAATACCTCCCCCAGAAAACTAAAATTCTGCCACAAAATTAGCCACAATCCATGCGGGTGCTGTGAAATTTCTAGAGGAGGGAGCTGGAACCCAGGAGCCCGTTAAATTCGCCACTGTAAATGAGCAGAGCTACATCAAACCTAATTTTGAGTCCCTCAGTGATAAATAACTTGATTCAAAATCGTATTATAGCCCCAACGACGATTTGATGAATGGAGACCGTAACGTTACGACAAAGTCTAACACTGTAAGTACCAAATAGTCATACGAGATATGTGCATCTCATCAAATTCAGCTTATACCATACCCACAATAATGTTACGGAGTCAGTGAGTTCAAGTTAGACAATACGCTGACCTTCCACTGACCATGCTTATAATATAAAATCTGTCAATGACAGCTGATTCATTGTTTAGTTTTTTATATGATATATTTAATATCAATAATATATGTATATGCATGCTTTATTTTACTTTACACGACCTCTAAAAATGCCCCAAATCGTAAAAATACGACTTTTTGGATTTCGATCTCCTTTTTTCGGCTACCCCGGACATTTTCAAAAAATGATACAATGATTTCACACAACAGGCCAGCTATTAGCCTCTCGATTGACAAGAGTTTCATCGCCCTCCATTCATTATAACCAATGTCATCGTGCCCTAAAGAATCAACAAATCAGCTTGCTTATCTCTGCTTACCCTACGCAAAAAATGCTCATCTTTGAACTCAATCATGACATTGACCTAGTGAACGCCTACACCAAGTTTGAACATTCTAGCTTAATTAGAAGGAGAGTTTTTGTGTTCCAAAGTCCCGGCCCTTCAAATTGCTTCTATTTTTCATTTTCAATTCAAAATGGTGACCATCACGTGACCGAAATCAAAATTCTGATCCGATAGATTTTTAGGCATTCCTTCCAGGATTCCGAAAATATGACGCCCGAGTCTGTAAGTAAAATAGCAAAAAAGCCTTTTTGATTTTTCACGTTTAAAGATGGTGGCACTTCCGGTTCGATCGACAAACTCCATATTTTGTGTACGAATCAGTAATTACCTGTCTAATATCGAATTTTTTTTTTAGGTCATTCTGACCTATATTTCGACGATTTTTTTGAAAACTTTGATCCTTAATTTCACCAAGGGGAGATAATTTAGAAAATTTCCAAGGACATCATTGAAGTCGCATTGGCAAGATCTACTAACATTCTAAATTTCACGAAAATCGCACAACTATTAAAGAAGTTGTCAAATTGGTAATAACTTCCGGTTCGAAATGACAGCGACGAATTTTCGAAATGCCAAAATCCGAAATTGCAGATTTGAAGTAAATGTTTCAAGATACTCAAAGAAAAAAGAATTAGTAAAATAGGTCAAATAGTCACAAAGTTACAGCATTGTAGGTCAAATGCATTCCTTCGTAAAATTCGGTGATTTCGGATTCGTAAAACGTTTTGAAAATATATTTAATCAACAGCCACCACCCATTATTGGGGGGATAGGTAAAAGTTTCAGAACGATCCTATGGTTAGATTCTGAGAAATCCGATTTGTGGACAAAACACACAAAAAAAATAACAATAATAATCTTAACAGAAACAATAAGCTTTCATATGTAATATGAAAGCTTAACTAGACCTGCAAGCAGCACTGAACCGGCTTTCAGGAATCAGACAGGAAGTGTGTCATACAATAGCCCATTTATCGAGCTACCAAACGATACTTTAGATGTTTTGATCCGGTCACACCTGACGGTGAAATCCCGATTGTTGCAAGAGCACCAATTTTTTTCACTGTCTTTTTTTTTTAAATATCGAATATTTATTTGACTACTTCCTGTTTACGGATCATTATCGGGATAGATTTAACAAGTGGTATGGGAACTTAATTTCCTGTACCAGAAGTTTCAGAAAGATCCATTGGACACTTTTACCTCCCTTATACCATTAGAAGCAGATTTACAGATATAACGATTTTTCGACTTCTTTTCAAAGATTGTGGCCCTTTTCGACCGTTTATACTATATTGAGGCTTTTAATTTTGGATTCACACCATAGACCACCGTTATGACTCTAAGTAACAGAAGTTTAAGAAAGGAAATAAGAGAAGTTTTCGAATAAAAGCGTCTGAATAGGCTCCAAAAAGGAAAATAATAGATTTTCAGCGTTCCATTATATATTGCCTAACACGCGAATTTTTACCATTTAGATCTCATAAGATTGTCCATGTTCGAACTATCCAATGACACTTTAGTTGTTTTGATTCGGTGAAATCTGGCGTATTAACCACTTTTTTCGCAAGATCTCCATTTTTTTTTTATTTTTACGGTTTTTTTTTTCTCAAATTATCCGAAATTTTTTCGACTACTTCCGTTTTATGGATCATTGTCGGGATAGCTTTAACAAGTTGTTTGGTTACCTTACCTTCTGTACAAGAAGTTTCAGAATAATTCATTCAGCTGTTTTCCAAAGAAAGAAAATTAGAAGATCATTTTCAGTAATCTAAGGCCATAGCCCACCCATAGGATTCTGCGTTAAAAAAGTTTCAGAAAAATCGGAGTTGTCGTTTTCGAGAAAAAGACGTCTAAAAAGGCTCCAAATACGGAAAATACTAGATTTTCAGCGTACCACAATTTATTTTCTAACCATCGAAATCGTACCATTGAGATGCCATATAATAGTCCATTAATGGGGCTATCCAAAGACACTTTACTTCTTTTGGTCCTGTAATATCTGACCTGTAACAAAATTTCGAAGAAATTTCGATAATTTTTTCACTTTAACTGATGTATCTTAGCCAGTTCAATGTCAGACATCCGGAAAATCAGTGTTTTCAACATCCGAACCAGTGATGTCTTGTTACTATTTTTATTAGGAAGTGCAACAAAATTTTGTCAGATTATTCAAGACTTAGAAATTACACGCAACAGCGAGACTTCCAGTTTCTAGGAAACGGTATATACTGCATAAATCACCCAGCATTTGTATTAATATGACCATGTGATACAGCTCAACTTTATTACAACTTTGAAAATAGCATATTTTGTCAAAACCATGTAGGATATATGTAGAGCTTCCATTTAGATCTTTAACTAACAGTTATTTGAGTGTTGCAATTGTCTCGCTAAATGACATTCTTCTAATTCTAATAAATTGCAATTTGAAAACCGCAATGGTTCAAAAATTTGCAAAGTGTGATCCTGATGTATGGTTATCCTTTGATGAACAAAGAACGGTCTTGTCATTTTTATTAAATCGTCAGGGGTGGATCCATAGTCGGGTTTGGGGAGTCTAAACTCCACCATTCTCTGCTACATAGAATCCTTCATTATCAGATCAGATGGTGTAATGGGATTGGCATTGAAAGTGTGAAATAATGATGTAGACATGTGTGACATCACATTTAATGCTTTGCATCAAGGAAATTGAATCACAACGTGATGATAATGTATGATAAAACTCTTATTTCTCTTTTAAAAAACTCATTGTGTATGTATGCCTATGTCATTAAGAGACGATGACAGCATGCATTGTCAACTGTTAAATTTCCTTAACAGGAGCCTAGCAAACCCCCTCCGGCATAAGTTCCAAGATCCACCCATTCTCGGTGGCGTGGATATATGGTTCTTGTCAGATCTGATGGGTATCGTGTATGCAATTAAAGGATTTGACAATAAACTTAAAGAAACATAAGTTATTTTCAATTAATATTGAAGTAACATTATTTTATAAATTTACTTTATAGGGTTAATGAATAGTTAATTCTTAAAAGAATTCTTCTGCTAGGAGCAAACCTGGTTGTCATGTTTTGGTGATTGGCAGATTAGCACTTATGGTAAGAATAACCCATTTATGTTAAGTATGACTATTACAATGTTTAGTACAGAAGGTACACAGTATTATATTGGAGGCATTTGAAAAACCAATGAGTTTTAAAGATGTGAAACCCTCTCATGGCGCTAACATCATAATGTAAGCCAATTCGACCAGACTCCATCAATGTGAATTGAAAATTTAATAGGGAGACCACTCTAAAATAACCTTGTTATTAACCTATCGTCTTTATAACGGGAAGGCTTAAATACGGGAATTCCCGGTACTATTTAAGATGCCTTATGGTGAACATGATCTACACCATTATGTAAACTGAGTGTAATGTCATCCAAATATTCAGATCAAGACCCTGGTACTCCTACCCTCTTGAACTAAAGCAATGGCATCTTTTTGGAGAAATTTCATTTTTAGGTTTTTACACTATTAAAGTATATTTGATTAAGAGAGTTGTTTATTACAGATCATGGAAAAATACATATTAGATTTATTCTTTGGCCTTAAACTTTCTTAAGATATAAAGTTTGATCATCAGATTAATACCCAAGGTAAGCAGTACTCTTATAATTTCAATTATATATGACTGTGTAAATTATAATATAATGAAATATTAAACATATACTCCTTACCCTGGATATATGGGGTTAGACATTTCAATGCATTCAATATTAAAATGGTAAATATAATGTAAGAGTAAACGGAAGTCTTGAGTTTTACATTAAGACAGGTAACCATGTAGAAATTGTTCTACTACTGATGTTATCTGTTTTACTCCAGGCACAGTAGGGGCTTTTCCTACAGTTCCTTTGCGCAAGTTTTGTAGCAAATGACTACAAAAAGTTTACTGGCCGATAGCTCCCTTAATTTACACATAAACTAACCCAAATCTGTACTTCACATAGCTTAACATATAATAAATCTAGTCCCATTGAAATAAAGATGAAGCCTTACCGCATAATTATGATTTGATGAAACCCAACTGCTACGCAAAATTTAACTGGCCAGTGTCATGGCGGCAAGTTGCGTAATACGTCATTAGGCCTACAACATAATTGTTTGGTAACTATTTTAATGGTCCAGTCCTCACCATTTGTGATAGAATTACTTATTCCAATACAAACTGTAATGATATGTGTTGACAATTGTAGGTTTGAACCTATTTGAACTTGCGTAATGGTTCTTAGGCTGTCTCAATTGTAACCTTAACACAGTTTAAGGTTGCAAGTATAGTAACTAGGTAGCCATGGTGTCTGAGATACTTGCTCATGAGCCTCATGGTAGCATATTTGCTCTCTGCTTTGGCCTCACAAGGACACCTGTCTAGTCATGCCTTTGGGACACAAAGCCATGGAGCGTGGACCAATGTATTGTATACGTTGGCGTGCCCAGAAAAGATCCCATGGCAGTTAGTATTCAGTGTAAGAGTAGGCAATAGTGGCACTGCCAGCTAAGATTTCCTGCTCCCTGCTTTGGCCTCACAAGGACACCTGTCTAGTCGTGCCGATGGAACACAAGCCGTGGAGCGTGGACCCATGTATACGTTGGCGTGCCCAGAAAAGTTCCCTTGGCAGTTAGTATTCAATTTAAGAGTAGGCAATAGTGGCACTGCCAGCTAAGATTTCCCTCAATGCACACTGTATGGTGTATTGCAGTCTTCATTAGCCCAGTAGGTGTAGAAAACGTAAGCGTACAATTTAATTTCATTGGAAGCCACAATCGTTCAGCCAGAAAGAACAGAGCAGTGACTATTGCTTTGCATTGGAGTGAAAACCAAGGTCTCATGCACAAGTTGAGAGCATTAAAAAAAGAACAGTTAGAAAAACAAATAAGAGAACTGAAAATTTCCCTCATAGATTTATAGGAAAACCTTGAAAGTGAGAAAGCAAAATAGCAGTTGGCCATATTCCATGCCAAAAACTACTGCATGGTGCATTGCTGTTTTTATAAGCAGCAGTAGGACATTAAAACCTCATTGATATTCCATTTCATATATCATTTGATTTACAAAATTATAATTTTGTATTTTTTAATTTTTTTTAGCATTTATTATTGAATGTTATTGGAGCGCCTGTACTTGTACCAAACTGGATTATTATTTTGCTTTTGGTGGTGATGGGCAGATCAACACTGTGGTAAGTCTCAATGATACGTAAACTAAGTGCAGTAGCGTCCAAACCCTATATAACTAAAGCAATAGCGCCTACTTGGTGTTGTCACTTATTCACTTACATCCTGTCCCTGTGCAATATTAATGGTTCAGCCAGAAAGAACAGAACAGTGACTATAGCTTTGCATTGGAGTGAAAACCAAGGTCTCATGCACAAGTTGAGAGCATTAAAAAAGAACAGTTAGAAAAACAAATAAGACTACAGAAAATTTACCTCAAAGATTCATAGCAAAACCTTGAAAGTGAGAAAGCAAAATAACAGTTGGCCATATTCCATGCCAAAAACTACTGCATGGTGCAGGGCTGTTTTTATAAGCAGCAGTAGGACATTAAAACCTCATTGATATTCCATTTCATATATCATTTGATTTACAAAATTATAATTTTGTATTTTTTAATTTTTTTTAGCATTTATTATTGAATTTTATTGGAGCGCCTGTACTTGTACCAAACTGGATTATTATTTTGCTTTTGGTGATGGGCAGATCAACACTGTGGTAAGTCTCAATGATATGTAAACTAAGTGCAGTAGCGTCCAAACCCTATAAAACTAAAGCAATAGCGCCTACTTGGTGTTGTCACTTATTCACTTACATCCTGTCCCTGTGCAATATTAATGGTTCAGCCAGAAAGAACAGAACGGTGACTATAGCTTTGCATTGGAGTGAAAACCAAGGTCTCATGCACAAGTTGAGAGCATTAAAAAAGAACAGTTAGAAAAACAAATAAGACTACAGAAAATTTACCTCATAGATTCATAGCAAAACCTTGAAAGTGAGAAAGCAAAATAGCAGTTGGCCATATTCCATGCCAAAAACTACTGCATGGTGCATGGCTGTTTTTATAAGCAGCAGTAGGACATTAAAACCTCATTGATATTCCATTTCATATATCATTTGATTTACAAAATTATAATTTTGTATTTTTTAATTTTTTTTAGCATTTATTATTGACTGTTATTGGAGCTCCTGTATTTTTTCAAACTGGATTATTATTTTGTTTTTGGTGATGGGCAGATCAACACTATGGTAAGTCTCAATGATATGTAAACTAAGTGCAGTAGCGTCCAAACCCTATAAAACTAAAGCAATAGTGCCTACTTGGTGTTGTCTGTGGAATTGATCTTTGGTGCATTCATATGTAAGTGCAAACATGTGTTGATGTTAAATTTAGGATTGTAAATAAAACTGTAACTCTCATACATGTACATGTACTGTCATCACTTATAAAAGGTGAATTTTCATAGCATCTCAGTGAGTTAAAGTTTTTATACTATTTTGTATTTCAGGTTTTCAAGGAAAGATGTCTTATTTCCAATTTTAAAGAATCTTGCTGAAATCTTGATGTTTTTCCTTCAACTTTATTCTGGTTCCTTATTGTATCTAAAATAAATTAAGAATGCAAAATCTGACTTGTAATCTGTGTTTGGAAAAATTAAAGTTGGCTGTCCTTATGATTCCTCTTCTGGTAGCTATCTAACCTACAGGTCCAATGTTCAAGGCTGGTGTTGCCAAGAAAGCTATTTTGGATTTTCCATAATGGTTCCTCCCTTGTCAGTGGGGCAGAATGGAAAGCCTGACAAGGAACAACATATAGGTGTTCACTGTTCAGACATGGATAAGCCACTAAGGTCCCTTGTAACTCGAACCAAATCCTCAATACTCAGTGGGTAAGACATTGCCTGTCTGAGCTTGAGTTCCTGTGTTCAATTCTCTGTAAGCCGAGAAAGTTCATCAGAAATCACTGTAATCTGGGTATCATTTAATCCTGTGTATCTAGCACTAAATTCTTTAACAATCGTTTGATATCAAATGTTTGTTTAAAACATTCGTGAAAGTCATTTTAAATCTCACATATTCATCTAATTTGTACTTGTGTCCAGTTTAAAGCTGATCATTCAATTTTGTTAACGAGTGGCCAATTTTCAAGCTTTTAATTTTCGATCACCGTTCAAAAATTAATCGTTATTCATCAATAATCAATAGATGCTAAATTAGTGCTAAATATACCAGATTAAATGATACCAGTTTACAGTGTTTATTCCAGCGGGTCCATGCTAGTGGTGTAAAATAAAGACACTGAAGAGACAACATACAGTCATTTGTATAAACCAGACATCCTTAGCCCACACTTCCATGCACGTTAAAGAACACCCCATAGTCATTTGGGTGGGATTGAAAACCAGGGTCCCATAATTGCCGGTGGGGTTGGGTGGGGCGGGGATGGTCTAGTGGTCTAGACTGCCGCGTTTCGAACTCTAGCTGGCCGGTCACCTCTGGCTTGCGGCTGTGGTTTCGATCCCAGGTGTGAGCATATGTGGCATGGAGATCGGGCGCTTTCTCAACCTCGTGTGTTTCCTCTGGGCACTCCGTTTTCCTCCCACTGCTAAAGACCCCTACGCACAAGCGAATTATTGAAAAAAAGTAAAAACATATGTTAGTCCCGAAATGATCTAGTTTGTGTCGAGTGGAAGCTAAACCCCATTTCTTTCTCTCCCATAATTGCCAAGCATGATAAGATCCCTGTGAAGTTGGAATTTAGAATAACAGTAGACTGTAGAACCACTATCTGGGCAAGGTTTCTCTTATAGTACGTTGTACTTTTGGTTTACAGGGTTGTTCCTTTTGATTGGGGCATCATATAATTACTTGATTTGTCATAGTAGGCAACTACAGACTCCTAACATTCAGAATTAGAATCAAATGTATGTCATAGTGAAGCCGTTGGACCAAATTCCCCCCATAAAATTGATCTATGCATACATCATTTGACCCTCGGTCATAATATATTCGGATGCACAGTCATATCATCCTGTGCACGGACAGATAACTCCACAACTGGAACAAAAAATAGAATCCTTACAAATCGTTGTGGCTCGGTGAGTAAGGCGTTGACTGTCTGACCTAGCAGTCCTGTCATTGATCATGGTATTGGCTAAGAAAGTGCATTGTTATAATTAATAGGGTCTAGCACGGAACAGTCATTTACAGGCCCGACGGGGGGGGGGGGGTCACCGCCCAACAATAATTTTGCAGCAAGTACTCTTTTTCTCCAGGTTATTGCGGCCCCTGGACCCTCGCCTATAATGACCTAGGATGGAAGCCTCTCCCAAATCGAGAAGAACTTCTACCGGCCCTGATTTGAATGGGAAATAAAACCAAGGTCCCACGCATACATTGGAGTAGTCCTGTGTTCGATTGCATGTAAACCAAGATATTTCAACAGTATTGTTTTAGCAGATCACCCTCCACAGTGGTGTAGAATGGAGGACTTGACAACATACAAAGAACACCATGGTCCAGGCAAAATCCCCTAATCCCACACAGCAATCACATTACATACAGATCTATATATCGTTTCGTATAACGTCGGACGTTTATTAACCAGATAGCGTTGATGTTTCTAGTGGAATACTCACTCGTTGCAACGAATCATTTCATTGGCTTATCCATGGAGCTATCCAACGACACTTTGGTCCGATAATATCTGACGGAGAAATCAAGTTTTCGCAAAAGCGCCATATGTTTAAACCTTTTTAAACATTTTTTGAATACTTCCGGTGTGGAGATTACTGTCGTGGTAGTTTTAATAACCGGTTTGGGCACTTAAATAACCGTAGGGCCCTGTTATGGTTTATTACATTATCTGATCAGACAAAAATGCACCTGAGAAATACTATGTTCAAAGGTGTCAAAATTTTAACCCTGTGTAAAATACCATCAAAAAATATTCATAAATAAAAAAGGTTTTCGTAAAAAAAAATTAAAGAGGTTTTCGTAAAAAAAAAATTTTTTTTCAAAATATCGGACATTTTTTCGACTACTTCCGGTTTTACGATCATTGTCGTGATATCTTTATGAAGTTCTTTGGATACTTAACTTTCTGTACCAGAAGTGTCAGAAACATCCAATGAGTAGTTTTGGAAAAAAAGATAAATCAAAGAGCGTTTCCAAAAATTTAACGATTTTTCAATTTTTTTCAAAGTTTGAGGCCATTTTTGGACCACCTATATTATTTCAATGCTTTTCATTTTGGATTCACTATATAGACAACCGAAAGGACTTTGAGTAAGAAAAGTTTAAGAAAAATCGTAGGCGTCGTTTTCGAGAAAATGGCGTCTCAGAATGTTAAAAAATCGGAAAATACTAGATTTTTCTTCATACAATAATTTATTTCCTTACAATCAAAATCATATTATTTAGATACCATATGATGGTCCATTAATAGGGCTATCCAACGACACTTTAGTTCTTTTGGTCCGCTATTACCTAAGGGAGAAATCAATTTTTTCGCAAGTGCGACAATGTTTTTAACCTTTTTTTTTTCATTTTTTGAATACTTCCGGTATGGTTATTATTGTCGGAATAGTTTTAATAGCCGGTTTGGGCACTAAAATAGCCGCAGGGCTCTGTAATGATATATTACATTATCTGATCAGATAAAATGCCCCTGAGAAATCTTATGTTCAAAAGTGCCAACAATGCAAAAAAATTAAAATATCGAAAATTAAATTTCAATAACTACATACATATTATACATCGTTAGAATCGTAATTAGGTCAGCTATAAGAATATACAACCTTTTTTTTGAAAATCTCTTAAAATAAAAAAATAGTAGAGTATTTTCCAAAATTTCACGTTTTTTCGACTTTTTTCGATTTTCAGTCCATTATTTCACCTATTCCAGATATTTCAAAGTCGTAATGGAATGCTTCGTACACAAGACTACCACAAGGTCTCTCGATAGAGAAAGTTTCATAAAAATCGCTGGCGTAGTTTTTGAGATACAGGCATCCAAAAATGCTAAAAATCAGAAAATACTTGATTTTCAGTGTGCCATATTTTGCTGCCTGATCATAGTATCCGCAGGAATTGGGTATCATTCAGTGGTCCAATCACCGCCCGACCAAATGATACCTTAATTTGTTTAATCCGTTGATATCGGACGGAGAAATCGTGTTTTTACCCAAAACACCAATTTTTCACGTTTTTTTCAAAATATCGCATATTATTTCGACTACTTCCTGTTTAAGGATTCTTGTCGAAATTGCTTTATAAGTTGGTATTGGACTATAACTTCATGTTCCAGAAGTTTCAGAAACGTCAATTCTGCCATAAAACGAAACCCGAGCTCACAAAATGGGAAGAAAATTCGAAAAAAATCGAAAAATAAAGGGCGATAACTATGAATAAAACTTATATTACTGGAATCGGATGGACTTCAGGTATCCAAAAATGTAAGTCAAATTTGAAAATTTTGAAAAATAACAAAAATTGTCTCGTAAACAATATGTTTTCAATTTTCAAACGATAAAAGTCATAGACGAATGTTCGAAATTGAAAAATGTGAGATAGCCATTGTCTCAGAAAAGATTCAGGGATTCCAAAAATGTAATTTGCTTGAAAATGGATAAAGAATTGACGAAACTATGGCCAATTTTCAATTTTTAGACAACGTACAAAGTTCGGTCACTTCCGGTATGCGCAGAAATTTCAAAAATATTTTATCAAGTAGCCACCACATGGTTTCCCGATAGAAAATCTAATTCCAGATCGATATCTGTTTTCGATCATGGAGATCTAGGCTCCCGCGGTAAATAATAATAATAATAATAATAATAATAATTAGAACTGCGATGCAGTAATGACGGGTTTCACCGGTGCCACTTTACCCTAAACATGTTACTTCCGGTACCAATGAAACCATTAAACAGGTTTCCACATAAGCATTGCACACATCAAATAAAATGGACGCCGAATCAACAAAATCCAGCAATATCAATTCATTTTATACATTTGTTACATGTAAGTGTACCGTACTTCCGGTGATAATGAAAATGTTCAATTAGTTTTATGAAATCAGAAATGACATAAGGCATCACATGGTGAAAATTTTATGTAAATCGAATAACAATTGCCACTTTTATAGACCAAAAACCTTGAAAAGTGACTTGTAGAAAATCGCCTATTTCTCTGCAACCGTACAAGTTAGAAACCATTTTCTGGTATCTGTATGATCGTATGGGT